CCCCTTGCTCTTGTGGTATCACTACCCTCAATATTTGTCCTGAGGGGTTTGTCTGTCTTGGATTCCGTGTTTCCAGCTCTTATCTGTACCTGTGTACATGCTCTGGTCCAGCCAGATTTGTAAGGCAGAATTGGGGTCATGATAGTGGGGCTGGGGGGAGGACCCATTAGAGAACTAGAGGAAAGTTGGTTTCCTTGGTGTTATCCTGCACCCTGACTGGCTCATCGGTTCCCTGTGACCCTTCTGTGAAGGGATGTCCAATTGTCTACAAATGGACTTTGGGTCTCTAATCTGCACTCCCCGTCATTCATATTGATTTGATTTTTTTGTTCTGAGTCTTTGGTGCCTGATACCTGATCCCATCGACACCTCAGGATCACACAGGCTAGCTGGTTTAATCTTCAAGGCATTTCCACATTCTTTATATTCATAAGGTCTCTCATCGCTGTGCATTCTCATATGTCTAGTGAGGGCTAGCTTACACTTAAAAGCTCTCTCACATTCCTTACATTTATAAGGTCTTTCTTCACTGTGAGTTGAGGAATGTACACTAAGGGCCTTAAGGCATTTGAAAACTTCCTCTCACTGCTTACTTGCAAAAGGTCTCTCTTCATGATGAGCTATTGTATGTCTGTTGAGGGCAGAGGAATACTGAAAGGCTTTCTCACATTCTTCACATCCACACATTTTACCCCAGTGAGCTCTTTCATAGGATTCTTATGAGTCAAGGAACAAGGGAAATCCTTCTTCACTTCCTCCCACTTTGGATCTTTTTCTTCCTTAAGGATTCTCATTGGAGTGGTTAGGGAGACAGACCACTGTAGGCTTCTCCACGTTCTTTACACTGGCAAGTGTGAGATCTGATATGACTGGTATCAGACATATGGGCTGATATCAGACTTATTGACTTGATCTGGATTGGACTGGGATGCTTTTTGAATATACAATTACTCTCCTCTACAAAGCCCTTTCTTATACACATACACGTCTCCCTGGATTTTTTTCCCTCTAGTCTACCCAGACTATAGGGCAACCTGCTACAGGGCAAAGACCTAAGAGATCGGTGGAAACAGAAATTGAGCATCGTGTTGAGGATTAAATACACCTAAATGAAGCCATGATGTTTTCAATCGCCTTCTATGCTGTCAAAAGCCAGACAATGAATAAGGAATACTAGAGAGTAACTGATATTTTGAATTATGATGTTGGCAAAGCTGATTAAGTACATGAATCCTGCTAGAAGCTTGTTAGTCTGGGTAGACTAGAGAAACAAATTCATAGGCACTTACAGGTGTACAGTGAACCCTCGCCACTTCGCGCTTCGACTTCCGCGGCTTCACTCTATCGCGGTTTTTGCGTAACAGCGCATGCTCTGTCATGACTGCCACTGATTGGCTCCTACTGTACACGCTTGATGCCATAAATAATATAATAAATAATAAATGATCATTGTAACGTCCAAAATGTTTTACTGTATTTTCCCTTTTTCGTTTAATAAATTGGGTCATACGAGTGTCATGGTGACGAAAGGGTGTTTTTTCATGTCCTCTATGCTCTAACTACGAAAATATTTGGTTTACAAGTAAGGAATCCTACTTCGCGGAATTTCATTTATCACGGTATGGTCTAGAACCGATTAACCGCGATCAACGAGGGTTCACTGTATCCCGCTTCTATGCTCTGCAGCTTCTTTTAGCAAAACTGCAAGCTAAAGAGAATGCAAAGCTCCACTTGTCCGTTTACCTAAGGGACACGGGTGTGGGTTCGGCCCATACAAGCTTGTCCCGGGTTGAAGCTCGGGGTCCATGCTCGCGCTGAGTCCGAGTTGGACGCCAGCAAACCTCTTAGAGCTGCAGTCGGTCTCGGCTCCTTCCGTTGAGTCAACAACCCGCTTACCACCCGCCGTGTTCCTGCCCGGAAGCTAAATCCGGAGGCACCGCGAGACCGGAAGCGGAGGTACTCTTCCCTGAGAAGCCGCGCGTGCTTGGTCCCGCTCCTACCTGCACGTCTGAGGTAAGTTTTCCCGCCGTCCCCGCGTCCCGTTGCCAGTGTTTCTGATACAGACTGCCATGTTTACGAGAAAGGCTAATATAGGTGGTGAGGGTTTATAGAAGTCACTCACCTAGTGTGGGTGAGATGTGTGTGGGACGGGATTCTCCAGCTTGAACTGCAAAGAATCGCATCCACACGGATACAAATGAAGAGAGTATGGGGCAGGGAGGTCTGGGTGGGACCCAGTGCAGAGTTTCCATGTCCGAACGGTGTCCCTCCCTCTCTGGAAGGATGGTTCTCACCAAAAAGGGAGCTTCCAAATCCTGCACTTTTATTGGTCCACGCAGTATGAAAACTAAATGATGCTGTAAATCCCTCCGATCTCACCTGCCCTCACTCCTTCACCTCAGCTGGACTGCTCTGTCAGGAACGTCAAACAAAGCTCACGTGGCCCTCTGAAGAGCGGCTCATCCCTCACCGTTAGCATTTCTAACCCTTCACCTCTCCTCAGATGAATGGACAGCGAGAGCCGGGAGTGGTCCTTTGAGGAGCCGCAAACTAAGAGAAAAAAGTGAACATAAACCCTGGCTTGGTTCAGGAGAACCGCCCGTGGTTTTAAAATAGGAAGAGATAACAGAGAAGTAGGTGAAAGTACCAAGTTCTATATCCACACACATACATTTCCTAGCCCTATGTGGTCAGTCACTGCCTTAAGATCCATCTGACTCTCCGTGTCCCTGCAGCACAGAATGGGACGGCACTGCAGTGTTCCCCAGGTGGTACTCAGTCTGTGGGGTAGCAGACGGCCACTTCGTCCCTCTGCAGGCCCACGGGTGCGCTCCAAATCATGCACCTTCCGTCTAGTTGCTTGTGCACCGCAAGTTCTCCCAGGAGCAATCGGCATACCGGATGCCCAGATACTTGTTGGTAAATATCGTTCTCGAATAAAACAAATGAGGGTGTCGTGGAGAAAAGTCTGAAGCCTGGGCTTGGGGAGGAAAAAGACAAAATATGCCTTCAGCAGAGGCCAGAAATCATGTACGGATCATACTAGGTCCATTTTTTTTTTAAAGCTATTAAAGAAAAACGGGACTTAGTTTTCTCTAAGTACTAATGACTAGATCAGAAACAACTTTGAGCCAAAATGAGAAATAATAATAATGCTTATCTCTATCCGTCCCTGGGTTGCAAGAGCCTAACTTACATACAGCGAGTAGTTAACAAATCAAGCTGCTTAACTCAATGCTGTGGGGTGGATGCTGACTCACAGCGGCCCCACAGGAGAGGGGAGAACTGCCCGTGGGTTCCCGAGACTAACTGTACAAGAGCAGACAGCCTCATCTCTCACCCGGCGACCGGCCGCTGGTTTCAAACTGCTGATCTTGTACTTTCAGCCCAATGCACCACCACTTATGCGACCAGGGGTCCTAATCTATGTCAAGCCTTTGGGAAATTAAGGCCTCCTCCTATAGGGTCTCAAGTCAACTGTCCTTTGACCGATGGTGTCAGATGCTTGTCTGTCATCCGCTCTCATTGGCTGAAGCCAGAGGGGATGATGTCTGGCTCCCTCCCCAGGCTATTCCCTCTACCGATACCCAGTGCCCATGCATGCAACCTCCCATCGCTGACCAAGAGGGACAGGTGCACCGCAGCAGCCAAGACCCACAAAAAAAGCAGGTGGGTGCTACTTTGCAAATGAACACCCCAAAAATATTTGTTACAACTGCACTGTTGTTAAATGTTCCATTGTATCTGGAAACATGTCCTTACAATTTCCACATGCAGAATTGTACACGCCCTGCTGTATTTAGAAGCCTAGTGGCCCTTGGGTTTGATGTTTGGCTGCAAGGTAGGCAGTTCAAAACCCACAGCCACGCCTTTGGAGAAAAATGAGGCTGTCTGCTGCCGTCCAGCTTTCTAGTCTCGAAAAGCCTACGTAGGTTTGTTCTGAGTCAAAATGAACGGGATCACAGTAGGCTTTGGTTTGGTATAAATTGGAGGAGGGGGGCCTTCCACAAGTTCGTGGAAGTTTTTCATGATCGTTTCATTCCCCTCTCCCATGAGCTATTTGAAGCTCTGTGATGTACGATGGAAAACACTTACCTGTTTTGACTTAACCTACTCATTCAAGTTAAAAACGGACTCCTTTGTAATGTGGGGATCACCCATACTGCTTTAGACATCCTAATTAAAAAATTGAGAAGAACGAGAGACGAGAAAGGCACTTCTTGCTGAATCCCAATGAGGAAACACGGAGGGAATGATGGGAACGGAGATTTCCATCCCTAAACACTGGAGTAGCAATAATCAGGTCGGCATTGTCATTGGGGACAAAAACTCGTCGGTCCAGCGATGATATCTGGACAGTATCAAAGAATAGCCTATAAGAAACTTGATACTTATGGAGGAAACATCAAGTATTTACCTTTACAATAGAGGAAGAAGGCTGTACATTAAACAAGTGCACAAAACACTCTTAAGATAGACACAACAAGAGGAGCTTTAATTGTTTGAAAAATAACATAAACAAGGGCACTGGAAGTTATAAAACCACATTGTCTCAAGAGCACACGGTATAGCCTTAATTGTAATAGTCAGAGAATGAGGAATCACAATGCACCGTGCATGAGAAGGTGCACACACGCATGAAGACAGCCGCACAATCACAATGACACGCTCCCTTGACCCATAGATATTTAGTATTGATAAGGACCTGGCCAAAGATACAATGTGTTGAAGAGGACCTCTTCCACCGTTAATAATGGTCACGTACTCACTTCCAAAATCTGTCCTTTAACCGTACACATTCGAAAACTTCCCTTTTGAAATGATAGCAGTAAAGCAGGAAGAAAAAAAAACACCCCAAAACGTATTGCTTTCTACACCACCTTCTAGATCAGCAGTTCTCAACCTGTGGGTCGTGACCCCTTTGGGGGCCAAATCAGGGGTCGCCTGATTCATCACAGTAGCAAAATGACAGTAGCAACAAAAACAATTTGATGGTTGGGGGTCACCACGAGATGCGGAACTGGATGAAAGGGTCGCGGCGTGAGGCAGGCTGAGAACCACTGGTCTAGATGAATAAAAATGACTGGACGGGTCGGCATTCCTTAAATTCCTAAGGCTTCCCCACCGTGGTTCTTTTCTCATAAGCTTACTGAGGACAGAGTGCTTTGGGCTCATCCCTCACAATCACAGGTTTCCACTGTGGGGCCTTATGTATTGAGGGAGGGCTGAGGAATCCCAGGATTTCCCACATCCCACACATCCGTGAGCCCCCTCTCCACTGAGCATTCTCACGTCGGTAGTGGAGTGTGAGCTATGGCTAGACGCCTTCTCACTGTGCTTATGCTCAGAAGGCCTGTCTCCATGTTAATTTCTTACACACTCCGAGAGGCAATAGGAACACCTGATGGCTCTCCCACATTCCCTGTAGATGTAGGGTCTTTCCGAACTGTGAATTCTTATGTGTGAAGTCAGGTGCGAGGAATGGCTAAAAGCTTTCCCACATTCCTTACATTGATAAGGCCGCTCTTCGCTGTACGTTCTTCCACAGACAGTGGGGTTGGAGACTTGTCTCAAGGCTCGTCCACATGCCTTGCATTCGTAAGGCCGCTCCCTGTGAGTTTTTAAGTGTTTACTGAGGGCCGAGGAGTCAATGAAGGATTTCCCACATTCCTTACACTCACAAGGCCTCAGCCCGCTGTGCGTTTTCACATGTCGGCTGAGGTGGGATGAGCACCTGAAGCATTTCCCACATTCCTTACACTCGTAGGGCTTCACGCCACTGTGAGTCCTTTTGTGCTGGGTGAGGGATGAGGACTGGCTGAAAGCTTTCTCACACTCCTGACACTTGTAAGGCCTCTTCCCATTGTGAGTGGTTATGTGCGTGGTGAGATGGGAGGCACACCGGAAGGCTTTCCCACATTCCTTGCAAACATAGGGCCTTTCCCCACTGTGAATTCTTCTGTGGATGGTGAGGCTCGAGGGTTGGGTGAAGGCTTTCCCACACTCCGTGCACGGATACGGTCTCTCCCCACTATGAGTTCGCATGTGCTGAGTGAGGGAGGAGGCGTCACTTAAAGCTTTCCCACATTCCTTGCACACATAAAGTTTATTTCTCTTATGAGGTTTTTTAGGTACATGGAGGGAAGGAGAGGTGGATTGTTGACAATACGTTTTGCATTTACTCTGATGTGTCCAGAAGGAGGATAAACTATGGAATTCCTCCCGACACTTGCAACATTCAGGGCATTTCTCACCAGCGAGTGTGGCCACGGGATTCGTAAGGGTCGACATACAAATGAAGTCCTTCCCACATGCCTTACATCTGTGTGGATTTTTCCCATTCAGAGTGCTCCCGGAAGTGGCTAGCTGAGGACAGCTGCAGGCTTCTCCACATCCCTGAAACCGACAGAAGCTGCATCCAGGGCGAGGTCCGGTACAAAGATGGTTATCTAACGACTGAATCGTGAAGGCTTTCCCATATTCACCGCATGCCAAGCGATTTACTTTGGGAGGATTTCTTTGCAGCACAGGAAGATTGGAAAGGCGGCTCACGGTTTCCCCAGACTGCCTGCCTTCATGACTTTCACAGAGGGTCTCTATTGGATGACTTCTGTTAGAAACAGGCAGCACGCTGTTGGGAGAGAAATGAGTTCCTGTTAAAACAGAATGGACGTGCACGGTACGTCCTCCTGGCGTGCCTCCTAGGTGATGTCAGACAGCAGAACCACAATCACTCCCTGTGCATTTATTTTCTTCTTCTTTCTCCCTGTGCATTTCTAATGCCTCTGAACATTAAGTCTCAGGAAAGTGGGTTTCAAACACCTGCTGTCTGACTTAACATCTATGAAAATGGTGCATCCTGAAAATGTTTGGAAGACGTCACTTTACAGCTCCATAGCTCCGTAGTAAAACAGAGACTTAGTCTCCACACCTCTATATCCAATCTGACCAATTTCCAGTGCCAACCTCCTGAAACTCTCAGGATGCCTGCAGGAGGCTGGGTGATTGGTGAGACTGTGGAGCACGCACAATACAATTCACGGCACGTGCTAAAAGCGGTCAGCTGCCGTCTCTGAGTCGGGTACTGCCAACGGTTTCCTAGTTGGTTCAATAGACAGCAGCAGACGTGGCTGTTAGGCGCTGTTTGATGACGATCACTGCTGAACCGTCATGAATGAAACAAGCCCTGACCGATATGTACGCACACATTCACACGTAAACACGTGTATGCGTGTGCAGGTCACTGTTATAGCACCTTTGTCCCGAGGCACTGTGATATAAAGTTTATTGTGTCAACCTGGCTGATAAACACAAGTGGGATTAATTGAAGGGCAGAGAGATAAATGGCTCAGTGAGCCTCGCCTTTGAGTTCTCAGGTCTCTTGCTTTCTGATGGTCGGACCAGGGTGCAGATGCCTTAGCTAGTTCCCTGCTTCAGCTGGCAAGGCTCACTTCCTGCAAGACATCCCTGAGGAGAAGCCACATGGACCTACCCCGATGCAGCCCTGGGTGCTGAAGCAGCCATGTGGAGACCCCTGTTAGTGCTGACATGCTTATACATTCACTGACTCAGCTTTCCTCCTGCAGTCGGCATCATTGCGTGTGTTTTGTGAGATGGAGGAGGATGTGTCGGACATATGGGTTAATGTTGGACTTCTGGGTTTGGGCAGCACTGGCTTGTGATGTTTTCTTAATGTGCACTTACCCTTTCTATAAAACTCTCTCTTATACATATGAGTTTCTGTGGATCTGTTTCTCTAATGTACCCAGACTAAAACACACCATTTCCTCTCATTTGCACGATACTCACCTTAAATGCATGCCCCAGTTTGCAGACTGACTCTTACTGCCATGCGGTTTGGAGACTTCTCTTAACAAGGAGGACCATGCGGCATTCTCCACACAGTGCACCCCGGTACGCTCGCTGGATAACTCCTCTCCACCATCACTCACTCCAGTGACTGCTTCCGGGAATCCAACTTGAGGTTCCCAATAGGAAACGACAAGGAAAATAATCAGGGGGCAGGAAACACTCCGTGGACACAGGCTCAGCTCCATTTCCCTGGGGCACGTTGGCCGGGGCTCAAAAACAATTTATGAGGAAATACTTCTGTGAGGCTTGGCAATGGTGGCGGCACAAATGGGGTAACTGGGAGAGCGAGGTAGAAACACACTGGACATAACGCAGGTGTGACGTTCAATGGCAAAGAGCCACAAGGAGCATCTTTCAAGTCAGGAAGGAAGCTCGGGGAAGCAGCTGGTGGAGGTGGGTCCTCACTCCTAAGGATAACTCCCTCCATGCGGGGGCTGCTGCTTCAAAACTCTTGCTTTCCGGCACAGTGGCTTTGGGTGAGTCCTCCCTCCACTGTGCTTAGACCTTCTCCTTTGCAGCTCTAGGAAACTGAGCACTGGGCTGTAATCTGCATGGTTGGCACTGGGACGTACCAGCAGCTCTGTGGGACAGGGACTGGGCTTTCTAGTCCCGTTAACGGTTACAGCCTTGGAAATCCACAGAGGGAGTTGGAAATCCACAGAGGGAGCTGGGAGTTAGCACTGGCTCGATGGCAGGGAGTTTATTTTCTCTTATCCGTTTGGTTCTCGAGGGAATCAAATGGGGTGCTCAATGCAGAAACGCCCGTCACAAAGGAAGACAGACGGTGCAGAGCGAGAAACATTGTTCTGGAGAGGGAACCAGTGTCTTCCACTTCAGGGTCTCTAAAGCCAGACAGGAGTGGGTTTATTTAAACAAAGGAATCCTGCTTGTAAAACTCTACAGGTTCCCAAGCCATCAATCTCTCAGGGCTCTAAGGTGGTCTGGAGGCTGCGGTCCTTAGTTACCTAATCTCGGGTCAACCTGAGCTAATGGGTGGAGCCTAGCCTGTCAATCAGGTCGCAGCTTGATCACATCACTGGGAGGCACCACAGAGATAACTATCTCCCTGGAGGCCAGACCCATGCTGTCTGCCTTCCCTTTCCTGCTCTGGAGATACTCAGAGAGATGGAGGCGCCACGTGGAGATTCGTGCCAGTGCTGAGATGCCTCTATTGCCACTAGATCCACAAGACCTGCTACCCACTGGCCTGTGATCTTCCCACATCCGGCATTATTGCACGTGTTTCTTGAGTCTGAGGAGGACTTTATAGATTGGTATTGGACATATGGGCTAATATTGGACTTAAGGACTTGATCTGGACTGGGCTGGGATGTTTTCTCAATATTCAATTGCTCTTGTCTAGAAAGCTCTTTCTTAGACACACGTGAGTGTCAATGAATTTGTTTCTCTAGCCAACCCGGACTCACACAGAGGCCAAGGCCGACACAGCATTTAAACTGCTTCAGGCCTTTCCAAGTGGAGGAATGAAAACTCACTTTAAAACCTGGAACCTCCATGAGCCTCGCCTTTCTGGTTCTCGGGTCTTTTGCTTTGTGATGGTCGGACCAGGGTGCAGCTGCCTTAGCAGTTCCCTGCTTCAGCTGCAAGGCTCACTTCCTGCAAGACATCCCTGAGGACCTACCACATGTACCTACCCCGATGCAGCCCTGGGTTCTGGAGCAGCCGTGTGGAGACCCCTGTCAGTGCTGAGATGCTTACACATTCACTGATTCGGCTTTCCTCCTGCACTCGGCATCATTGCGTGTGTTTTGCGAGATGAAGGAGGACTTTGTGAATTGGTGTTGGACATATGGGCTAATGCTGGACTTGTGGGCGTGGGCAGCACTGGGTTGGGATGTTTTCTTGATGTGCACTTACCCTTTATATAAAACTCTCTCTTATAAACAAACAAACAAACCTGGACCTGATGCTCCTGGGAAATTCGCGGGACCAGGCCTCTGATTTAACGGGGTTTTCATATTCCTCGGCCCAAATGCACAGACAACGGCAGCGCGTCAAGGTGTGTTCTTGAAAGAACAGACATTCATGAAACTCGACACCATCCTTACCTACGGAGTCCAGGTTCGTCAAGGTCTCCACCATCACATCTCTGTAGAGCTTCTTCTGAGCAAGGTCCAGCAGAGCCCACTCCTCCTGGCTGAAGACCACGGCCACGTCCTCTGCGACCACGGAGTCCTGAAACGGCCCACACGCTCTGGATCAGCAACGGACCACGCACACGGATGCGTGCAAGATGAAATGTGAGCCAGATGGCTCTCCTGGGGAGAACCGAGGATTCCTGGGCACTCGACAGGTCTGTTCTCTTCGAAGGTTTTCTCGTAGGGAATAGCCACCGGTGTGGTCACTACATGATCTGATGTCAACGAGAGTATTAAGAGTGAAGGGGTGGAGTCTAGCCTGCCAATCAGGTTGCAGCTTGATGATCACATTTGGAGGTCCCATGGAGATAAATAGCTGGCTGGAGGCCAGACCCACACTCACTCTCTGCTTCGTTTTGGTGATAGATACATTATCTGGTGTCAACTAGGGGAGGGGTGGAGTCTGGCCTGTCCATGAGGTCACGGCTTGATGACCTCATTTGGAGGCACCACAGAGATAAATAGCTGGCTGGAGGCCAGACACTCTCACTACCAGCGAGACATTCCTGCAGACAAGACACATGGAGCTACGCTGATGGAACCAGAGCCCTGGAGCTGGAAGAGCCACGTGGAGACCACGCCAGTACTGAGATGCTTCCACCGCCACTGGATCCACAACACTTTCCACCCACTGGCCTGTGATCATCCTGCATTCGGCATCATTGCATGCGCTGGGTGAGTCTGTAGAAGAATTTATGGACTAGTATTGACATATGGGGTACTATCAGACTTATGGACTTGATCTGGACTGGGCTGCTCTCTTAATGTGGAATTGCTCTTTGATATAAAGCTCTCTCTTATACGCACACGAGTGTCCCTGGATTTGTTTCTGTAATCCACCTGGACTCACAAGAGCAACTCATCTCTCTCCACTACACTCGCGTCCTTAATAAGTGCACCATGTTCACGGACCACGGGAAGAGCACCTTCCAGATCTCGGACGTGAAGGAAGCTGAGACGGCGACACAGAACAAGAGGGGCAATGTCAAGACTGCGACAGACATCAAGGGGGACCACGAGGTTGAGGACAGGAGGGACACCGTGTCATGAGTGCACCCTCTTCTGTACTGATGCCGACTTGTGGTCAATGACTAACTGCCCTGAGAAATCCACCCTGGGAGCCCTGGCGACACAGTGACCATGTGTTGGGCTGCAGACCTGCGTGCGAAACCACTGGCTGCTCTGGGGGAGAAAACCCAGGTTTTCTACTCCTGTGCAAGGAGGTACCGTCTGGTCAAGCCAAGGGGGCAGTTCTACCCTGTCCCGTAGGGTCGGAGATGACCCCTGGCTGTGAGGGAGATTGAGTAAACCCCGTCCTTGTCAGTCTGCCCGTGAGCCCTGCGTGGGATCTGAAACAAACGATTGAACCCAGCGCACAAGCCGAGTGCCGGGCGAGGAATGGCTGGTGTCTGAACAGGGAAAGGAGGATTGTGCATGTAGGGGCGCCTGGCCCTCCGGGCAATGAAGAAGTCATTGGCATTCGGATGTGGTGCCCCATGCCATTTACTGCAGGGGGGCAGCGTCCATCTGTGTGTGGCTCACAGCCTGGGAAGGACCTGGGGTGCCCCCCACAACAGTCACCCAAGATTTGGAGCAGTCAGCTTTCTTAACTTCTATGAGAACAGGAGGGGGTAGGTACGCCTGCTGAGGGAAAAAGAATGCCTTGGGAGAATTGTGAATGTGCACATGCCCATTTCCCAAACCTCAGGTTCTCTGTCCTCCTGTCCAGTGTCCCCCAACCCTCCAATCCCAAGACCTGCTGCAGCTGTACATCCGCGGTGTCGTGACTGCGTAAACTTGCACGCCCTCACACAGGCAGGGCCTATTGTCAGCAGAGGAAGAAAGAAAGAGGAGGTGGAGGTCAGGGTGGGGTGTGTGTGTGTAGAGGGATGCTGGTATCAAGGAGCTCAAGGGGGAGAATGTTCGGACACGGATCGGGGGAGCCATTGTACAATACCACTCCACGTGACTGAACGGCGGAAGACTAGGATGTCTGAGAGCTCCCAATAAGTGCATGGGGGAGGGAGGGCCGCAGAGGGAGGAGGGAAAATGTTTCCAAAAAGATGCTGGGAACATAGATACAAAGGTGATCTACATATAACCCCTTCCTAGGGGGACAGACTAGAAAGTGGGTCTCCTCACCTCCATCAGTCAGTGCTGACTCACTGCGCCCCCTCTGGGTTTTCTCTCCTCCCCTTGTCGGTTTCAGAGACTAAGTACTGATGGGACAAGAAAGCTCTTTTTGTTTCCCAAGCAGTTGTGCGTGGTTTTGAACTGCCAACCATGCAGATCACAGCCCAACATGTACTATCTATGCCACCAGGGCTCTCCTAGCGACGGAGAGAAATGAAATTTTCCCAGACACTAAAACATGGCGAAACTCGGAAACATGCCTCCAGGTAATTGCATGACCTCAACTACTATGAAACAGTAAGCGCATGTGGTGACCATGGTTACCAGAGGTTACAAGGGCTGGGACGTGCGTGCAGGGGGGAGGGCGTTGGAAGCCTCTGGGGGCAGAGAGGCTCTGTTCTGGAGCGGAATACGTTGGGGGAAAGAGGCCAGTGGAAAAGCACAACAGGCTGACGTCATCCAAGCCACCCCTCTGCAGATCTGTCTGTCGTTCTGAAGGAGCTGTTCTGGGAAAATTGACCCTGGTATTGACTGTTTAGCTCCTCTCGATAAGATCGAAATATTGAGTCTGTATGATAGGTGGATGAAGTGCCGATAAAACAGTTAAAATTTTTATTTGAAAAAACCTGTTAAAAAACGTATGACGGCTTGGGTCCTAGTCCACAAGTGCACGGGTCCATTCGAAAACAGACTGTGTGTGGGCGTGTCTCTGTGATCACATCTGTGGACGGCGCCCGACGGGCCCTCTGCCACGGGTCTCAGCCTCCTGAAGGTGCCTTCCAAACAAAAAACACCAAAAACTAACAGGAAACCAAGGCTGTTCACCCGAGGCCAGTTCAACAGACGGCAGAGAGGTCAGTTCAGTGGGTTATGCCAGCTCCTTTTTGGAAGCCCCGAGGAGTCATCGTGAGTGATTTCTCCTGCCGTGAAGACTTGGTGTGAAGAAGCCCAGAGGGGACGTTCTCCTGTGTGCTGAGTCGGGACCCACTTGATGGCGGTGGGTCCGGCTTGGGGTTGGAAGGGTCATGTGCCTAATTTTTCTCAAGCAGGTCCGAGGCCCCAAGACGATCAAGAGGGACCAGTCGGAAGAATTCTTAAGACAAGTAAAACCTATCCCAGTGAGAACAAAAAGGCCAGGAGAAAGTTGTATCCAAGAGTTTTAGATTGTTTTTTCCATCATCACAATGTACCGGCTCACTTTTCCAGGGTCGTAGGGGCCAGGCCGTCCTACAAGAATATCGCTGGGGAATCTTACCCCTCCAGCAAGGGGCCCTGGTCTAGCAGGGCCTGGTCCTGGCTTCTCTCTAAGAACAAGGAGCCCGTGCCCCTCGGGGACTAGGGAGATGGCAGAGCGCAGTTCTCCAGGGAGCTGCGAGGGATGGAAACATTCCCTTTGGAAGAGCACCATCCCCTATGGAGGAGAAGCCGAGAAACAACAGCTGCACGCTTCCATATTGTTTTTGCTAAAGGTTCCGATGAAGCTTATCAATACTGAAGGAAATATGACAAGGACTTTCCTGCTTTAAATGCTCCTACACTTCTTCACTCTGTGTGTGTGTGTGTGTGTGTGTGTGTGTGTGTGTAAGACGGGGAGCAAACCAAAAACCAGACTCACTGCCACTGACTCGTGGAGTGGAAAGCCCCAGTTGTTTCTCCGGCACAGCAGCCGGTGGTTTCAAACTGCTGCCCTTTTGGATCAAAGCCCAACCGGCCACCCCTTTGCCAGCAGGGCCCCTCAACAATACGGAGGGCAACGGAAACTTTGAAAGCGGGGTGTGGAAGGGCCTGATCAAGGGCAACGTAGCCGAGGAATTACCCCAATGAATGGAAGTGGGACACGGAGGAAAGTAAAAGGAAATAGAGGAAAGAACTATGAGGCAAAGGGCATTTATACAGACCTAAATACAGGCACGTACCTTAAATATGTTTAAATATAACGACGGGGAAATAGATCTGTGTACATATATTTCTATGTTAAGTACAGTATTAAGGTAGCAGAAGGACACTGGGTCTCCACTCAAGTCCTCCCTCAACACAAGAACACTGTGTTCTAATCATTCGGCATTCTGTGATGCTCACCTTCCCTGACACAATCGCTGAAGACAGAGCAGGTGCATAAGCAAATGTGGTGAAGAAAGCTGATGGTGCCCGGCTATCAAAAGGTATAACGTC